GGAGGAGGAGGAGGAGGAGGAGGAAGATGAGGAGGAGGAGGAGGAGGAGGAGGAGGAGGAGGGGGGGCGGCGAAGGGTGGCGGGAGGAAAATGGCGGCGGGTCCGCCGCCGACACCAAGGCATTTTTCCCAAGCGTACTGTGGTGTTGGGTCCTCGTTTTGAAGAGACGGTCCCCTCGTTCTCCTCCTCCTTCCTGCCTCCTCCTTCCCCTCCTCCCTCCTCCCCCTCCTCCTTCCTCCCTGCGTTTCGCCCACCCAGTACAGCGCTTCGTGGCCCCATAGGGAGCTCCACCGAAGGCGCCAGTGGCAGGGCTCGCATGGCGGCCTCGGGCCATTTGGGCACACCCATCACGAGGATCGTGGCCCCATAGGGAGCTCCACCGAAGGCGCCAGTGGCAGGGTTCGCATGGCGGCCTCGGGCTATTTTGGCACACCCTCATGAATATATCGTGGCCCCATACGAGCTCCACCGAATGCGCCAGTGGCAGGGTTCGCATGGCGGCCTCGGGCCATTCGGGCACACCCCTCACGAGGATCGTGGCCCCATAGGGAGCTCCACCGAAGTGGCCCCATAGGAACTCCACCGAATGCGCCAGTAGCAAGGTTCGCATGGCGGCGTCGGGCCGTTTCGGCACACCCCTCACGATGATCGTGGCCCCATAGGAGCTCCACCCAAGGCGCCAATGGCAGGGGTCACATGGCGGCCTCGGGCCATTAAGGTACACCCATCACGAGGATCGTGGCCCCATAGGGAGCTCCACCGAATGCCCCAGTGGCAGGGCTCGCATGGCGGCCTCGGGCCACACCCCTCACGAGGATCGCGGCCCCATAGTGAGCTCCACCGAAGGCGCCAGTGGCAAGGTTTGCATGGCGGCCCCGTTGAAATTTCGGCACACCCCTCACGAGGATCGTGGCCCCATTGGGAGCTCCACCAAAGGTGCCTGTGGCAGGGTTCGCATGGCGGCCCCGCTCCATTTCGGCGCACCCCGCGCGAGGTTGTGGCCCCGTGGGGAGCGCCACCGAGGGTGCCAGTTGCAGGGTTCGCATGGGCTTTCGCCCTGGGCCGTCGGCTGTCTGGCGCGCTGCTCCCTCGGCCGACGTCGTCCTGGCGTGATCCTGGACTGCGGTCGCCATGAGGTTGGGGACGGCAAGAATGAGGTAGATGACTGGTGGCTGGAGCTCTACGCACTGCTCTCGCGCGCCACGAGGACCTGCTGCCCAGGCGGGCGCCGCGCATCGAGTTCTTCCTGGCAGGGCCGCCGGAGGGCTTGCGGAAGCAGCTGGAGCAGTTTGCGGCGCGCACGAGGCGGCGCCGGAGGGAGGCGACGGCCCTCGCCAGGGAGCTGGGCTTCACGGAGGCTTGATTTGGGGAGGGGCCCGCCGAACCTCGCCGTCTCTCGACGGCCTGACTGTTTGGCCTTGCGCCGCGGACGACCCGCGCGCGTCGCCGGGGCACTTTCCAGGGCGACCGGCGCGCGTCGCGGGAACTCCATGCTGCAGCGGCCAGAACCTTGCCCGTTATCAGCCAGCCAGCTAGCTCTCTCTGCTCCGCGAAGCGGACCCGCGCGCGTCGCCGGGACCCCTTCCGGGCGACGGGCGTGCGTCGCGGGGGCTCCGTGCGGCGCCGCGCCCGCGGCCGTGGACATTGGCGTGCGCGGGCAAAGAGGGGGACAAATAACGGGGACGAAGCGGGCGCGACCCTTGTGAAGGGCGCGCCGACATGGGCGTCGACATTCATGCGCGCAGGTTCACGCGCGCGCAGACTCATTCACAATCAGACTCGCTCGCGTGCAGACTCGCCCGCTCTCAGTCTCTCGCGCGCAGAGCCATCGTCTTCGTTTGCGTCGTGTGCCCCGCTACGCATTTCGGCGCGCTTCTCGCGCGTTTCGTGGCCACGTAGGGGGCGCGGGCGAAAATGGTATTCACAAGTGCGGTATTCACAACTTCGTATGGTTGGGTCCTTCACCAGGTTAATTTCTTCCCGACCCTCTTGCGTTGGGTTCTCGTTTTGAATGGGGCACTGCGGTCGCACACCTTCTCTTTTACCCTCCCCCTCCTCCTCGTCCCCCCTTTTCCTGCCTCTTCCTGCTCTGCTCCCTGGGGGGCTGCGAACGGTGCAGCAGTCGCCACTTTCGTGTGGGCTTCTGGGTGGCACGGCGGAGTCCAGGAGTAAAGGGACCCAGCCTAGACCTCGCAGCCCCCCTGGGGGGCTGCGAATTGCGCAACCTTTGCCATTTTCGTGGGATCCTGGGAAGCACGGCGGAGATGAGGGCTGCCCTGATTGTGCATATCTGGCGATGTGTTCTTTCGTATGGAACGTTCATGCAAATATTCGCCTCGCGTGGAAAATGGGTTGGGTACGTTTCGGGTGTATTGTTGGGGGCGATTGTGGGGGTCAAGGTTTCCTGGAACAAACAAGACAAGACACTTTATTGGAGTGGGCCACGCGCCACAACCCATTGATCCTGTCGACCTTACAGCTGCATTCTCAAGCATCTGTGCCGTCATTGCCTTGGGGCCCAAACCCACGAACCATTGAACAAAATTCGGCCCGGCCCACCATCTCCACTCTCAAACGTCCACGCCGCCACAGCCGCTGGATTCTTGGAAGCAACCAGATCCTTCTCCCCAAACTTTCATCGCATTGTGATAAAGAAGTATTGCAGATGCTTTCAGTCGTTTTCGATCCCTGGGGGCCTTCGACGGGCCCGTCAAACAGCAATTCGGGTGGAAACGCTAGCCCTGGGGAAAGGGTAGGGATTTCTACCCAATCCTGTCTAGACGCGAGGCGACTATCAATAGGAACGCTATCAGCTGAAGAAAACATTGAGGGACCTGCAGCACTGCCGAGCGCTTCGCCAAGCAACGCCGGACTCTAGTTAAGGTCTTCATTCACGCACGCATTCTCGCAACTCAGACCGCAAAAGGGTTAACAACGATAGACGCGCTCCAAGGAGCCGCGATGTGTCGTCTGGATCCGCGTGCACCTCCGCTCCGCTGGACCTCAAAGGAGCCACCGAAAGTGGCGACGGTTGCGCAGTTGGCAGCCCCCCAGGAACCGCGAGGTTTCGACTGGATGTAATGTGTGTGTGTCCCCCACTCCACTGGGTTTCCCAGGAACCCACGAAAGTGGCGACAGTCGAGCAATTCGTAGTCCGCTCAGGGAGCCGCGAGGTCTCGACTGGATCCGCGGATTCCCCCGCTTTGCTGGATTTGGTCTTTACGAGAGCCAGCGAGAGAGAAGTGGCGACATTTGTGCAGTTGGCAGCCCCCCAGGGATCCGCGAGGGCTCGATTGGATGTGATGTGTGTGTGTCGGAGACGCAATGTCTAGGCTACTCTGTAGGAGCGATGCAGGTCGGTAGGCAGGATGAGGGTGGAGGCGGGAGGAGGAGCAGGAGGAGGAGGAGGTGGAGGAGGAGGAGGAGGAGGAGGAGAAGGATGAGGACCAGTGCAAACCCAAGATTCATCAACGATGTTGGTATATACCCTCCCTCCAAGCTCCGTTATCGTAGGCCCCTACATGGATTCATTTCCACTGGGGAAGGTGCCCTGTTAGGAGACAACTGCTTGACGATCCTGAAGCGTGCCAAAACACAAATCCCATGGCTTCATTTCCCCGAGTCAACCTGACTGTTGCGTCTTGACGATCCTGAATCTTGCCAGAACACCGTTTTTGGGACTTCAACATCGTGAATCAACGTAACTGTTGCGCCATGACAATCCTGAACCGTTAAAAACTACGGTTTCTGGTACTTTCACCATGAGAATCAGTGAAGCTCGCGATCGCCAGATTTTGAAAAGAACCGCATTCAATCCGTGAAGCTCTTGCAACTCCATTTTTTGACGAGTGTGCGCGGCACACAGGCGAGATCCACATGTTGGAAATGAGGAAACGAGCATGCGCTGCCCAAAGGCGAGAGCCACATTTTGAAAACGGCCTGCCCTGAATCCGTGAAGCTTTTCCGAAATTTTGAACGAATATGCGCGGCGCATAGGCGAGAGCCACATTTTTGAATCGACCCGGCCTCCATCTGTGAAGGTGTTGCTATTTTTTAACTTGAGGCTCGACGCGCGAGCAGCGTTCTCTTTATATTTGCAAGAGGGTTGGTGCAAACATCGCGGGACTGGGGTCCTAGGCGAGCCCCCAGCCTACTGGCGGACAATGCGGGTTACGGTTTTGATGCCGCCCTCCGAGCTTGACAATGGAGCTTTCGACCCACATGGCTGGTCCACACCATCCCTGGAGGACCCAGGACGTATCAAGCCAACCCAAGAGGACTTGCGTTGCCATTCTGTCTCAAGTCTCCGTGATCGAGGCCACGGACACTCATCCGAAACTTGAATTCAACTATATACTCTGAACACTCACTGCATTCGTTGGTTTCCATGACGAAACTCATCATCCTAGCTGTAGCGTTTTGCTTCGCGCGCTCGCACGCGCTCGACTGGCCACGTGCTGTAAGCCAAGCGACGCGTATCCCAGCATCGCAGTTCATCTCGGCATCGACGTTGAGGTCGTCGGAAATCACAGGCTTGACCTGCACGGCGATTAGCGAGTACGTTCCCGCCACCGGCGCTCCCTTAGTCTGCAGCAATGTCTTCGTCGACAGTAACGACGCGCACTGGACAGATGCAGCCGGTGATACCTCATACGTTTGGTCGGCAGACAATGAGGGGGCAACGGGCAAGCTGGGTGGCTGCGTAGGGATCTGGATCGAAGTGACCTTACCAGCCGAGTATACCGTTGACATTATCACTTATCGCCAGCGGTATGCGCCCACCGACCAGGGCGACGAGATGAGCGTGGAGCTAAAGTCTACCAGCGGCGCGGTGCTGTCGACGCAGCTCATCGCTTTTCAGAACGCGAGCACGAACAATCCGCAGGAGGAGGCCTTCTCGCTGACGCCCACCGCTGGTGTGAAGTCCATCCGCTTTACCTACACCAGGGCGGATACAGCCGACTGTGGCCCCACGGGGGGCTACCTCGGAGCAAAGCGCA